AGAAGAAAGCTAGATGGGCGTACGCATTGGGGGGAGGTGATGTCTGAGTAGAGATGAAGGCAGCCTCAAGAGGGGCAGCACATGCAAAGGCCCTGAGGTGGGAAGGAAGTTGGAGGCCCAAGGACCAGCAAAAATATGGGAAGAGTGTGGTGTGGGCCACCTCAAGCAGGACTCAGAGCAAAGCAAGGCTAACTCCTGGGGGACACTAAGGTTCAGAGAAGCAAAATCCTTTGCCAAGGACATGCCGGATAAGGTTGGGACTGTTAATCCTGGCAACCTTATACTCTCAACCATTAGGACAATGGCTCTTGATGTGGGTCTCCACTCAGTGGCTTCAGCATCACCTGGAGATTATTAGAAATGACATTCTCACCCCTACTCCCAACTACTAAATCAAAAATTAAGGGGCCAAGATTTGTGGATTCCAGTAATCTGTGTTTGACAAGGCCCGCAGAAAACTATGATACCCACTCAAAAGTGACAGTCACTGAGCTAGATTCTCCTGGTATGTCCCTGTCCTCAGAAGGGTCCCTGTTTGTAGTATGTTGTTCAGTGGCCCCTCACAAAGATATGTTTATATCTTAATCCTCAGAACCTGAGAATGCTGCTTTATTTGGAAAAAGGGTCTTTGCAAATATGATTAAGTTAGGGACACTGCAATGAGATCATCCCAAATTATCTGGATAGACCCTGAATTCAATGCCAAGTATCTCTGGAATAGTGAGGGAGACCCACAATCCCTGGCACCACTTTGCACTGACAGCAGAGACTGAACCCATCCAGGCTTCCCTGGCCTGCCACTGGTTCCATCCTGTCTTCTTCCTCAGAGCACCACATCATCTTATGAGCAGGATCTGGGGCTGCTGGGATGTTAAGAGAGGGGTGGGGTGGTGTTGAAACCAATTCACAAGTGACTTTAGAAACTGGGCTGAAAACTAGAACCCGATCTGAGATTTCTTAGGAGGCAAGCAGCCTTTTCAGGAGAGGGAGCCTTGGTCAGGTGACTGGAAAGGTTCACCCCTAGAGTCAAGTGCTATCACATGGAGCTTGACCCTAATCCGAGCCATCCTCCCTGGGGACATTCATCCAGCTAAAAGCACAGACCCTGGGGCCAGACTGCTGGGCTTCAAATTCTAGCTCTGTCATTTCCAGGCTGTGTGACTTTAGGCAAGTCACTTAACCTCTCTGTGCCTCACTTTCTGCACCTGTAGAGTGGATTTAATAACAATACCTACCTTTAAGGCACACAGTAAGGGCTCCGTAATTGCTATTGTCACTGTTGTTTTAATTATCTTATCAGTTCCTTGGCTGTTGACATGATGATGCTTCCCAGATTTGCTGGGTTATAGGGTGAGAGTATGATCAGTTTTACAAGAAATTGCCAAATCTTTTTCCAAAGTGGTCACACTCTTGCTCATGTTTTAAATGTTTCATAATATATGAGCTGTGGCTTTTGGGAAGAGGCACTGTGTGGGTCCTCAGGACTTGGCCCGTTTGGAAAACAGGCTGTCAGAGGCTGAGTCCTCACAAGGGCCTTTACTGCTCTGGTGGAGAGAGAAGAGGTTTGGGATCTAAAGTTAAAATCCAGGCTGAGTGTGGTGGCTTACACCTGTAATCCTAGCACTCTGGGAGGCTGAGGGGGATGGATTGCTTGAGCTCCAGACCAGCCTGAGCAACAGTGAAAGACCCTATCTCTACTAAAAACAGAAAAACTAGCCAAGCATGGTGGTGGGCACCTGTAGTCTCAGCTACTTGAGAGGCTAAGGTAAGAGGATTGTTTGAGCCCAGGAGTTTGAGGTTACTGTGAGGTATGATGATACCACAGCACTCTACCCAGGGTGACAGAGTAAGACTCTATCTCAAAATAAAATAAAGTTTTTTTGTTTTTTTTTTTTT